TTCCTCTGGGAGGCTACCAAGTATGGGGGCTGTTAGCCATGGGGGTATTTCCCTTGGGGGGCTATCAGCCATGGGGACTACTAGCCCCAGGAGCCGCTGACTGAGCGCAGGGTGGGTTATCTGTGATCCATGGGGTGCTGCGAGCCACGGGGACTAATAGCCCCAAGAACTTCCTAGCCATGGGGGTCGGTAGCTGGGGCGACGGGGTCTGAGCCCCCACTCCACCATCCCATGGTCCCAACCTGCCACCTGCCCGGTGCCTTTCCTGCGGGAGCATCCGCAGCCCCCACTGCCTTCCCGCACCCACAGGAGCCTCCTCGCTGCCATGGGGGGGCCACAGCCACCTCAGCGTGGTGGCCGGACCCCTGTGGCACTGGCTCTGCAATGGTGGGACAAACTTTCCCCAGAGCCGGAGCCGCCGGCTTGTCCCGTGCCCAGGGCGGACAGCACCCGGTCCTTCCTCCCCAGGGCCTGGACTGGAAACACACACACACACATGCATATATATATATATGTATGTATGTATGTAATATTTTTGATATGTATTCTTTATATATTTATATGCATATATATAGTTTTTTATTTCTTTCCCCTTTTTCCCCTCCCTGGGCACCGAGCACGGCATGCGTGGCTGCGATGCACTCTCGTGCTCGGTGGCAGGGATCACATGAGCCCCCGCCGCTCGCAGCCTTTGTCTGGTGCCTCGCGCCGCACGGGCCGCCTCTCCGGAGCTCTTCCCCTGCCGCCGTAGGGATTCCCAGAGAGGGTTATTTGTTCTCTTTATCCTCCCTCCATCCCCCAGTGGGTTTGCAAACATTAGGGTGGGTTTGCAAACGCCGCCGGCGCTTGCTGATCCCTGGAAATCTCCCTGCTTTGGCTGGGGGAGAGGAGCCGTGTTAATTATTAAGCGAATCGGCGCCAGAGGCTGCTCTGCTCGCTGGGGAATTGCAAACCCTTTCAGTCCTCCTGCTTTCCCTTTGGCCTCCCATGCATAGTATTTTTCAGGGTGCCTGTTAATTGCAAGCGCTGGAGCTGGTCGGTTTGGTACCAGCAGGGCTTTGCTGGTACCTTTTGCAGGAAAACCCACTGCAAACCGACTGGGCAGTCACTCCGCACGTGCAGGTTGCCAGCGCAGGGTGTTGTAGCTTGGTCGGATGGAGAGGGATCGTCACCACAGCCCGGGCTGAAACTGGGCCGTTACGTGTCACCCGGGAGCTGGGCACAGGGGGGCCGCTGATCCCAGGCGCCCCTGCAGCACGGCACGCAGCAAGATCATTATTGTTATTAATTATTATTATTTCCTTTTTGCCTGGAGCGGGCCGGCTCAACGGCTGTTACTGTGGCAACCAGCCGTGCTGCTCCCGCATTGCAACCGAGCGAGCGATAAATTAAAAGTGTTGGGGAGAAATTTGTGCAGGATTATTCCCTCCCGCAGCTGGTGAGCTGAGCCTGCACCATTTCATGGCTTTACTCATACCTAAAAATCAAAGTTAGGCCAATGTGAGAGGCTGAGAGGAATTAGGCCAGAGAGACAGATACGTAACCAAGGAAAGAACAAGCCTGTTATTAATATTAATTATTATTATTATTATTATTCCTTGGCATTGTCCCTCCTGGTGCTGGAAGAGCACAAGCGGCACAGTGGCAACAGTCAGTGCAAAGTGGTGGTGGGTGATGAGATTTGTGCAGAAAGTTTGCAGTGCTTTGCATGGAGAAATTTTTCTCCTCTTTTTTAAAATTTTTTAATTTTTTTTTCATCAGGAGTGGGAAATGCAGTATTTTTTGGAAGAAAATGTCTCTGCAATCTCCTTTTCATAGAGAAGGAGAATTAAAAGGGTCGAGGCAGGGCTGCCCCTTGCTTAGCCCCGTATGCTGCCTCCATATGGCACCTAGACAGTTCAGTGACAGCAACCAAAACAACAGAGCTTTGACGCTCCGGGAGTATTTCCTGATAGCACAAGGCCGTGAAATTGGAGCAAAAACAGCAAATTTCTAGCACTCCTTCCTTCCCCAAGTTTGCATTTCCTTGGTTGAGAAAACTGACTCCAAATTAGTCTTAGATGTCACTGTTCCTGGGATTCGGTGCCAGATTGTTTCCAAAGGTCTCAGCTTGGGACTAGAAGGAGTAGGATACTCCTGCGGCACAAAAGGCTCTGCTGGAGCACAGTTTTATAAAGCAAAATATTTTGATAAACTAGGGAGCCCACCAGGTGCTGAAATGTATCCCTGGGGTTTCCAAATGTTATGACTTGCTCTACGGTCTCCCTTTGGTTTAAGGGATTTTTGGTTTAAGATGATTTTCTGACAAGCTGGGCAGGTGCCTCTTGAGTGGACACTAGTGGGCTTGGCCAGCCGAGACCGGAGTGGGTGGCCCTGGGTGAGCCTGGTCTGCTCAGGGTGTTTCCTAGCTCTAATTTCTGCCTTAGCATCCAGTTCCTGCATCCGTCTCATCTCCTCAAGATTCGCCTCAGGAGCTGCTTAGCTCTTGGGAACCCTTATCCCTCTTGCCAGATGTGCACGGTGCCGGCACTCCACAGCCCCAGCACTGACGTAGTTATTCGATTTTCTAACTGAGCAGCACTCACAACAGCTTTGATGCTGAAATGCGCCTGAGAAATCTCCCCAAGTGATGGAGAGTTCAGATGCTGTTCGCTGGGGGTTGTTATGTCCGTCCTGTACGTCAAAGCCTTGCCCTGAGGTGCTCTGTGGCCAAGCCAGGCTACCTTGGGGCATCATCTGATGTCAACTCACTGTGGGGCAGGTGGGGAGGGGTTGTCCCATCCCGGAGCTTGGCATCACCTCTCCTGCAGGGGTGGGTTGTTGCATAGGACGTAGGGGCAGAGGGGTTGTTGCATGGCTGGTTTCAGGCTGCAGAGTGCCAAGGGTGCAGGAGGTGCCAGTGAGTCCCGTATGGTAAATCCCAAGACTCACAGCATGCCCAGAGCTGGTGGGATCCCAAACTCTATGTACCCCTTTACTCACACAAGCTGAGCTGAGCCAAGGCATTTGCCAGGACCCAGAATTGCTGGGCTGCAGGAAGGGCCCAAAATGCCCATTACTGGGAGGTCAGTTCCTGTTGCTGATCCTCATGACCCTGCTGTTCCTAGAGAATCCTCTTGGCACCGGGACAGGACTTAGTGTCTCCCCGCCTGCACTTTGCAGCCAGCTGCCCTCCATGAATGCAATAAACGCTGCAGAAACTGTGTTAGACCCATGACAGCATGCAGGAGGTGGGACTGTGCCCAGTGAGACCTTGTGCCTCGCTAGGATCAAGGGGTGTTAGAAAGGCTCCTCCAATATTGCTTTGCTGCCACCAACACCAGTGAGCTTTCATGGCCCTGTAAGGGACTGATGGATGAGCTGAAACCATCCGTGGAGTGAGAGAGGCAGGAAGAGTCAGCAAAGCTTCAAAGCTCAAGTCAACCCTCACTGTGGAGAGGGATGTGCGTGAAGGCTCTTGGGGTGAAACACCAGACAGGAGCTGTAATACCAGCTCTGGCCTGGGAGCTCCTGGTCCTGTCGTCGTTGCTCCATGAGGAGGAGGATGCTGTTGACGTTGCTCCATGCCAGACTAACTTCTCGCCTTTGTGTTTGGTTTAGTGCCACCAGGAGAAGACCCAGGCGTGCCAGCTGGCTCCACCACCACCCTGGCTTTCCCTGAGCTCTACTCCTCGCCCGGGCCCATCAAGAGTGAGGCCATGAAGACAGAGAAGGATGAGGTTCTGCCTACCTTCTCCGTGGGCAGTAAATACACTGGAGATGGGGCAGGTGAGACCCTTGCCACATGGGGGGCAGCACAGGACAGGGGAGGAGCCTTTTCTCATGTTACTGTGAAGTCCCTTTTGCCAAAGTATGCAAGGCGTTGATGTTGGATGGGCTGTTTCTGCTCAAATCTGCCTTCAGATGGGCTTTATGGACTCGTGCTTCTTACCCAGTGCCCCTACTTGGCTTTGTGCTTTTAGAAGCACAAGTGTGCACATGTGCACCAGACATCATCCAGAGTCTGCAAGATGCCAGCAAGCTTTGCCTCCAGACCAGCACCTCTTTCTACAGTAAAGGCCCGCACATTTCTAACCACTCTCAAGTGATCCCACCCTTCTGGTCCCATCCAACCCAGACCCACAAGACCCCAGAATTGCCAGGGCTGTTTAAGATCTCTGCACAGATAGAAATGAAGTCAGAGTAGTGAATTGGGACAATCATGCAAAACATCAAACCTTGGCTCAGCTTGCAAGAAAAAAATCACATTTGAGCATGTATTTGCCCTGCTCCAAGTTCAGATCTTGAGAGAGCCTCCTATATCTGGGCTGGCTTCCAAGCTGGATGATGCACAAATGGGTGATCTGCTGCATCTCCAGCAGATGTTAACCTGGAAGAACTCTCTCCATCAGGTTGCAGCGACCCGGCTCTGTCTGGGGGGCAGGTGCTGGTGGTGGGGAGCGGTGGAGGAGGAGGACAAGCGCAGGATCTGCGGCTGCTGAAACGCCGGCCTGTCCCCGGTGAGCTCCACCGTGGGGCTCCATGGGGCCTCCTCCGAGTGGGGACAGGGCACTGCATCCACTGTGGGGGACAGCGGTGGTTCTGGGATGGGTTTTGTCCCTGCAACAACAGGGTGGCCTGTCACATCTTAGGTCCAGAAGGCCCTTCTGTGTGGAGGAGTGGCTCTTAACTCCCAGCTGGAGCTGCCACCTAGTTGCTAGCACAGCCGAAGGGGCTTGGGGAGGGCTCATCTTGGCCTGTGTGCTGGACGGGGCAAGGGCTTGGTGGTTGGGATGGCTGTGGGAGCTTGGGCCTGTCCCAGAGCCAAGGTCTGTGTCTCCTTCCAGGAAAGCATTACCAGTGCTCAAGCTATGGCTGCAAACTGGCCTTCCACAGCATGCAGGAGCTCATGGATCACTTGAAAGTCCACTACAGACCCACACAGTCCCTCGAGGGTAAGGACGGGCTTGCACCCTCTTGGGGTGGGGTGTAATGGGAGAGACCATGGAAGGAGGTCCACTTTGCTCCAGGCTGCCCTTTTTCTGGATGGGAGGTGGAGAAGTGGGGCTTGAAATTTGGCTGTCTGGTTAGACTGTGCTCCTTCCTTCTTCCAAAGAAAGGTGTCCATACCCTGGGAGGTGGTGTACGGGCAAACAGCAAAGAGCTGGGGGAGCATCAGAAGGTGACAGAGACACTTGCTAGCCCACGGCTGGTACGAGGGTGATGGATTAGCCTCCAAATCCATGCGGCAACGCTCTTAGGGTGCTGGTCCTGCAGCCAGGGTGTTGCTGACTCTCTACCTCACTCCTTACAGGCAAAACCTTCCACTGCCCCACTCTGGGCTGCAGCGAGACCTTCCCCAGCATGCAGGACCTCATGACCCACATGAAGGTGCACTACAAGCCAAACCGCTACTTCAAGTGAGTCCCGCTCTGCCCTCCCGCGGTGGGTCCCCATGCGACCCGCGCCGGACTGCGGCAGCGGGAGGGCCCCGCAGCCCAGAGCCGCTCTGGGCGGCAGCGAGCGCCCGGCGCTCACGCCGCCTCTCCGGCTCTGCAGGGGCGAGAACTGCCTGC